GGGGGGGCTCCAGATATTCCCTTGCTCTCAGTGTACAGAACACAGTTGACAGCAACAATACTGACAACCTGACATCAACATGTCACAGACATTAAAAACACATATAGCTCATTTATGGTGCAGAGATTCTCGATTATTTATCGAATACGTATGCCTAAATGCAAATCTAAAATATGCATAACTAGTTCATATATATATACAGTATATGTAAGGTATGTATGTATGGCTGCTTGTGAACTTTCTGTTTTATTTTATGCCATGTCAGCTCAGTCCCTGCTGCCACCTCCTCTCCTATCAGCTGCTCCGATCGGCCATCCTGGCGTGCACTGCTCTGTAGCAGGGAGGAGCTGGATCAGGCTGTGAGGAGGGCGTGATGACTCTGCAGTGATATTTCCTGCTTCCTGATACTGGATTTGTAAAAATCTTGAATCGAGAGCGAGTCAGCACAAATTATTTTTTCTGCAGACATCACAGTGCATTGCAGTCTTTTTTTTCCTGCTTGGTGGCTGATCTAAAGTATACAGTGATAGATGAGCAGACTGGGTTACTGCATAAAAACTCCTGAGGCAGCTGGCACAAGAAGTACTGCTGGGCCTTTGAGATTCTGCATCTCAGAAGTCTGAATGTTTTCCAGAATTATATTTTTTAAAATTATATGAAACAGCAACATAGTTTTAGCTTGCTCAAAAATGTATTGTACTTAGTTTGTTTTCTTTACATGAGATAAAATGTCAAAGTGTTGTTTGATGCCATCACTGTTCCTTTTAATGACGTTAAAATATGTTTAATATATGTTCACTCTTGTTACTAAGACTTGAATCATGCTGTTTGGTCAGTTTGTCATTTATCATGATTTTAATTACTTGTGACGACTTAAAGATTTCATATTTTGGTTATTGATTAATTATTGTTCTACGCTTGCTAACTTGCTAAGCTGATTAAGTGGTTGATTGAATATCTTAAATAACCAACAACAAACTTGCAGATGATGTAGTGTGAATGTCTTTGAAACATGTCATCTTAATCAATCATAATGTGTTTACACTGTTTCAATAAAAATCTTTACCAGTCAAACTATTTTCAGCTGAAACTGTCAGAAGGGTTTTTTTTTACTTTAAAAGGATTTTAGTGGGCGCAGAATCAAATAATAGACACGGACACGAATATTGTAAACTCAAGCTCTTTTAATTTATGGAAAAAAAACAACAACATTTAAACTACATTCCGATTCGAAACAGGGAAACAAAAATAATATCCCTGCATGGACAAAACTGGGCAGACTTAAAAATTAAGTGTTATTTTAAGTACTTTAAGTACACTTTTTGTTACTATGTGACCTCCAAATGAGAACAGTCACTCACATGGGACAGAAGTGGTGGGACTAATCAATACTTGCGGGCCAGTACAGACAGCTGTGGGTGGGTCCCTGCTCACCTGGACCCTCACTGCAGCAGGCAGTCGTCTAGCTGATGGTGGATTCTGCTCTGCACAAGCTCGGGGCCCAGTTATACAGGGCTTCCTCATCTGAATCAGAGAGGATGAGGCTGCTTGTCTTTGGCTCCTTTGTGGTGGCATCTTTACACTGTACCTGCAGCAGGGCCTCAAGGCTGGTATAAACCTCTTTTCACTCTCCCCTTGCAAGACACTTTAATATAAGGGGCTACGGCTCCTTCAAATCTGTTTCGGTCTTTCCTATACAACTTACCATTCATTTCAGATTCATTATTCTCAAAGGCAGCTTCTAAATGTGTCTCAGAAATATTAAAATGAGCTACTGAAAAATCTGTTCTGGAGAATCTGGGAGTAGTATAGTATATAGAAGTATACAGTTGGCCATTTACAAACAGACCAAGCATAAAAGCTACAAATGACAAAATTACTGACGTCTGACGGTTTGACAATTCATTTATCATATTTAAGGACGGCAATATCACCTCTGTCTCTGGCCACTCTCAGCTGTGGTAACAGTAATTTTCTCTTCTTCCTGATGGACTCTGAAACATCTTCATTGATGTAAAGACTGTAAAACTTTCTTTCGAATGAAAGGATTAATTGTCTCTTTTTACATCTGTCCACAATCTGCCAGCTCGTCCATTCTACTTGTATGGACCGAGTCTGTGAGCGCGTTCAATTTCAATGCCGTCACTGGCCAGGCCCAGCTTCTTCTTCTGCAAGTGTCGGACTTTATCCTCCGATGTTTCCCAAGTTTCTGCTTTTTCTTCTATTAATCCTCCACTACGTCCTCCATCCATCCTCCTCAACTGATTTTCTAAACATCTTGGTTGTTAACTCTTTGTTTTTCTCGTGCATGCTGCTGACCGCTGATTCAAACTCATTCAGTTTGCTTTTCACACACTTCTCTTCAGTTTGCAGCTCATCAACAGCACCATCATTCCTTCAGAATGCTGTCCAACCTCTTGTTAGTTCTATCTATGATTTGAATTTGACAAATGGCTTGAAGCTATCTTGCTGTTGATGAGTCAGATCCTCACGTTGCTGTTCCAGCATAGCTTTTAGCGTGCAAACACTGACATAGCTGTCATCCTCTACCGTTAGCGCCTTAGCGGCCTTCGGGGGCATAGTTGTTAGACAGTTTCGCCTCCCCTACCAAGATCTCTGTTTCAATCCCAAATTGTGGAATGCTGCAACGTGTTTTGCATTTAGATAGTACTGTAAGGTTGAAGTGCTTCGGTTGTATGCAAGCTCCATTTTGCACAATTTGCACAAAACCACGCTTTTATCAAGGCTTTGGTCAGGTAGTCTTTTGAAATGAAATTAGCCTCAGATCAGTTCAAGCAACATGCTTTCTTCTGATTCTTTGTAGCTCTGATGTGTGCATCAGTGTAATCAGTATACCAGGAAATCTTGCATTGACAAAAGTTCCCCTTTGCTTGGAATGCAAAGTGCGATTAAATTTTTTCAAATTAATTAATCGCAATTAACGCATTAAATTCCCAACCCTAGTATTTAATAAAAATAAGATTAAAACAAAAATTGTATTGTTCATACATAAAAGTGATTGTTCAGTTTCAGTATTTCTTTTTCTTTAAAAAATTGAAAATGTCTCATTTTGATGAAAATTAATTCAAAATTTAATTCAATTTTTCAATTTTATTTATAAACATTATAACATAAAATGAATTCGTCATTCATTTAAATTGTCTTCAGTGATTTTAATATGTGCGGTTGTCAGAATGAGGACACTGCATACTTCCTGTGGGAGCAGAGGATTCAGCTGAAATGAGTGTAAGAAAGTACTACTTTGTTTTGCTTTCAGTTAACTCTCCCTCTTTGGTTTCATGTGGTTAGGCAGTGGACTCACAACCAGTGTTGGGTAAGTTACTTTAAATTAGTAACTTAGTTACATTACCAGTTACTTCCATCAAAAGTAACTCAGTTACTTCAAGTTACTCATTACTTTCAAAGTAACTAGTTACTAGGCAAAGTAACTTTGGTTTTACTCAGACTTCTCTTGTTAATGTGTTGCTCTGTAACTGGATACTCAGCCAGACTGCCAGTCTTCTTGCTTACTTGCCACAAGTGCACTGTGCCACCTACCAATAGAAAGGAAAATAATGTGCATATTTCCACGAGAGAAATCCCACGCCTGGACCGTCGTTGACCGCCGCCATGATTCTAGCCTACGTCACAGCGTCATGTGCGCTTTTACATCCAACACAAAAACTGCAGTCGTGGTGCTTTGATTGTACTCAGAACTCAGAAATTCTGCCTTCTGAATAGGAAGATGTAGGTAACACCAGACTGCAGATGAGCTGCATACAGGGCTGGACTGGGACAAAAAAAAATGCCCGGGCATTTTGACTAGAGACTGGCCCACCATTATAGGAAAAATCATAAAGCCTTTGAATGAAAACAAACGCTGTTGTGACAGTGATGTTCACTGTTCTGATGGTATATATGCATCAATCTATCAATCGTTTGTTGTAAGATTCAGATAATTATTTTTTAAAAGCTAGACATTTTAAATGAGAATAAGAAAGAAAAGTATTTCTTTGTGCCCCCCTCTCCCTGTTAATGCCCTACCTGCCCCCCTGGCAACACTTTGCTAGACCCGCCCCTGCACAGTTACCAGCTGTCAGCTACCTAAAAAAGGATCCTGGTGTTATTTGTCTCTCAGAAACAGTTCATAACTTCAACTCATTCATGTCACCTAAAAGGTAAACCTGTTTCTCCATCACAGCTCTGATGATCCAGTAAGGACATCTCCTGGTTTCATCTTCATGTTTCCCTCTCACCAGATAACCAAACCAACATCATGACCAGCAGCTTTACAGCTGTGGCTCCAGCAAACATCAGCTGATACTAGAAATTAATATTAAATAAATTCTAACAACAGCTGATCAAGCTTAAACGTGCTGCTGTTGTTTAGCGCGACATCCGCTGGTTTCCTCTTTCTGGCAAAGTGGGCGATAAACAAACAAGAGAGAAAAGCCGATCAGCTGATTATTGATCAGTTTCATGATTGAAGTAGAAACGAGGAGAGGGAGGGAGAGAATGAGAGAAGAAGAGGCAGCTGTGCAGAAAGCACAGAATAACTCCAGCTTTGTGTCTTTTTCATTGTAGCTGAAGTCCGGGACAAACTGTTCCTTTTCACCTCAATACGAAACGCGTAATATTTTCTCTGAATACAGACGATTCCGTTTTTTACGGGACTGGTTGGCAACTCTAATAATTAACCTTATGAACAAAATAAAGTTCAACATCAGTAACATCATAGCACCCACCCAGCTGTATAGAAACTCCGTCATGCTAGCTAGCACGCAGTACGAAAAAGTCAGCACTAACGAAAATAAACTCCACCTAAACTTGGTTTATATCTGACCCAGATAGACTGCAGGTCATAACTTCTTACCTGAAGTTCAGTTCACCTGACACTCGGACCGGCGGCCGCTTCGGGTCTCTCCTCCTGCCTCCCCTTTCCCTCATCCACCTGCTGGCCTCCACCACTTGCTAATGTTACTGAATCTGTGGAAGCTCCACGATAGCCACCACACGAAGAACGAATAACGAGCCTATCTAAATCCCAGTAACGACTAACGCTGTTCCTGATTTTGGCATAATAACTAGTTACCGTGCTCGTTACCACAATAATAACGTAGTTACTGTAACGCGTTACTTAATAACGCGTTAGTCCCAACACTGCTCACAACAGTAACTATCATCACTGCAGAAGAAGCCAGCTCAAGAGGAAGACAAGCATGTGAATAGCTTAAGTGCTTTCATAAACCATAGTGATATTAACATAAAGTGTAGTATGATAATATTACTAATGAAATGTTATAATAAAAATAACCTCACATTCACATAAACAGTTTAACCTGCTAGTAAGTGGTGTCAGTGTCTTCATCACAGTATGTGGGACACAGTTTGTGACAGAGAGCGGTACAGTACATGCTTCCTGTCTCGTGGTTGCACTGCACTACAGACTAGTCAAAAGTCATCAGTGTCTGAACATGGCCAGTAAACAGTTTAGTAATGCTGGTATCATTTACAAACTGGGAGGGGAAGTTTGTAGTGACCAACATCACTGTCTCCTCCAGTGGTGATAGGCCGAGTGTTCAGATGTAATTTAATACTATTACTTGAGTACTTTCCTGTGCAAAATGAATATATTTGTATTTTAAGCATCTCTGTGTTGTTCTACTTTTAACTTGTACTCTGGATGGCTGTACTGCATTTGGAGGCCAGTATTTTACTTTGCTTTAGTTCAAAGCTTTGATTACTTACTATTTTACATATTTCATAATGGGTAAAATTATTGAAATCATCTCTAGCTGATAGACATATTAAAGGAGTAACAATTAATAATCCCAATCCTATTAAAAAAAAATCTAATGCATAATATTCTGCCTTTGACTTTTAATAAATACTTAGCAGGTAATAAATAAATTATTTAATAAATAAAAGCAGGTAAAATTAGGTATTCAATTAAAAAACATGTTTAAACTCTTGTTCAACCCATTTTAATTCATCTACATAAAAGAACAAATCTTCACTTGATCCTGAAAATCATGTTGGTGTTTCTACATAAATGGTCCACACTGTTTTCACACTGCTTTATTCTTTTCTTTTTTCTTTCTTTTTTTCTTTTTTTTAATTCGGATGGCCCATTTAAAAAAAACAAAACATTGATATATCTCTGACCTACATAATGAGTGAGTCACTTTGATGGATTTAGCAGAAATGACAAATGTGTCAAGTACTGGTAAGGTGCTGGTGTGGTTCCCACGAGTTTGAGTGAAGGCAAATGAGCTATAATGCAGATCAAACCACAAGCAACTGCAATGGAAATTCAAAGAAAAAGAAAACTGGTTTCATGCTGGAAACCACAGTTGTTCACAGGTGTCAGGCTGCAGGCTATTTGTTTCCTCAGTAAATTCTCACCTTTTATCAAACATGCAGTCACAACGAATCATGTAGTGATCCAGTCTGTTAAAATACTGCCATCTATTCTCTGCATCATGTCCCATCATGTCTTATTTGAAAATGATTTTGTGTGGATGTGCAGACCACCGTTCCCTGTTTATATATGACTCGGCCTGCGGTTGTCCTATTTCTCTGCATGGGATGAATCTATCAGAGGTTCTGGAATTACACATGTTTCGAATTTTCAACTCTCTATTTTCTTTTTGTTATATGAAATTTTACCAGCTAGTTTTACTGGTCTGCTGTTGTCTGTATCTAAGGTAATCAATGGACACAGTTGATGAGGTAACATTTACTTCTCAAACTCTGTTTGATAATGAGGATGACGACCATTATAGATATAATTAGGCAAAGAAAAGGGAAATTAGCTTTTTCAGTTATATACATAGATATTTAAAACAAATACCAAAAATTCAGTAGATGTAAAAGCCAAATCTTTGTCTCGGTCAATGTAACAGTGAGAGCTGGGGGTGTGTGACTGGGAGGAACTGCTGGGCCAATCTAAACCCAAGTGGTGTTCTGTTATTAGATTTGTTAGACTGTGCTAATCATGATTTATGCAAATGTCAGCATAAATGCACTTGGCTACAGGACATCAAAGGTTGTAGGTCAATGATCAATTTTGAAATTGCACCATTGGATATTCGCTGGACATTCAGGTGAACAGAGGAGGTGAGCTCTGCCATATTGAAGCACTTGGTGGTCAGCTGGACCAGGAGTCAAATAGGAAGGCTGGTGAACCCAAGCCTGTAGCGAGGCTTTACTTTGAGCAGAGGCTCAGTCCAACAAACAGCATTCCAACACTAAGTGTGAGCGGGTCATGTTCTTCATCTCCATTTCTGTGGCTGCTGTACTGAGTTGTGGCCATTTCTACTTTAGTGAGTTGGAATGTTTTTGGATGTTTTATACCTCATGAAGGTGAGTTGGAACAAAACACTGAGACTAATAAAATAGTGATAAGTAAGTCAACGTGCAGAGTTTTTTTCTTACTATGCATCTCTCACACATTCAGGAGTGCAGAGATTTTGAATCGGTTGTCCTCTTCACTTATTTAAATAGTTAAGACAAATTCACAACAACAGTCAACTGTTGTGTTTTATATTGTAAGGCAAAGACCAACGATAATGCAGAGAAAACCACAACAATCAGTCGACCCCATGAGCAAACACTTGGTGACAGTTTCAGTAAAAATCATCCATTTTAACAGAAGGAACCTTCGGCGAAACCAGGCTCAGAGAGGCGCAACCATCTGCTCTGATTGGTTGGGGGTGAGGGGAGGAAGAAAGGACAAAAGCAACACACCCAGAGATCAAAATTATTTTTAATCATTATCAATGATTAATTATTTAATACAAACTGCATCATAGTAAGCCACCAGCAGCCTACATCTATTGCAGCAGAACTAAGAGAGGGTTAATGGACACCTGATCCAGGCCTGACTATAAGATTTATCAAAAAGGAAAGTTTGAAGCCTAATTTTAAATGTAGAGATCCAAGGTCTCCCGAATCCAAACTGGAAGCTGGTTCCACAGAAGAGGGGCCTGAAAACTGAAGGCTCTCCCTCCCACTCTACTTTTAAATACTCTAGGAACAACAAGTTCAACAAGATAATACAGGAGATATAATAATGGATTGGATTTATACAGCGCTTTTCAAGGCACCCAAAGCGCTTTACAATTCCACTATTCATTCACTCTCACATTTACACACTGGTGGAGGAAAGCTACGGTTGTAGCCACAGCTGCCCTGGGGCAGACTGACAGAAGCGGCCCCTTTCGGCCCGCCAGTAGGCAGTAGGGTAAAGTGTCTTGCCCAAGGACACAATGACCAGGACAGAGAGCCTCTGTTGGGAAGCGCGGTTACAGATGCGCTTCCCAACCCCCTGAGCCACGGTCGCCCACATATGGGATGTATGCTCTCTCTCTGTGGTCCCTGTCAGGACTCTTGCTGCAGCATTTTGGATCAGACTTTACTGTATCTGGACAGTTTCACTGATATTTGCATTGATTTGTTTCTTTCTCCCTTCATGTAGTTATTCTTATTTTCTCTCTTCCACACCAAACATGAACACCAAGTCTTAAGTCTCACACCAGTACTACAGACAACAGTAAATGAATGCACATCTCACTACGATTCATGTTTCGTGTTTTGTTTGTTTTGTTTGTTAGTTTTTTACACTAGCAGTGGTGGGTGGTGAGAATGTGTCAACTGAAGTCACACCCCGAAGAAAGACTTGGTTTCCTGTTGGTTCAGCTGTATCAGGATCAAAGTGACTTAGTTCTGTAGATTACAACCTGCCATATGTGCAGAGTTTTAAACATCTGCTGAAGTTTTCTAAAACAAGGAGCTACATCTACACCTGTCAGCCACACAAACACCTCTGAGCTGTAAAATAAGTCAAAGGTGAGTTGTTGTTGTTTTTGTCTCAATGCATACAATTATATTCATTTTGTACATGCAGTCAACTAATCTGGTGTTTAACATGATTAAACCTGCTAATGTTCTTCAGCAATCTATTCTGACTCTCTCTGAATGGTACAGTTACCTTTAAAGTATTTTCATGACTTGGTGCCTCTTGTACCTTTGACTGATGGTTCAAATGTACCTGTTGGTCTTTGAATGATGTGTCAAAACAGTAAAACAGTATATGGTGCACAAATGAAACTGAAGCGCTACAGAGGTCAGAGATGCAACAGGCACAAGATTTGAAAAAAAGGTGTTATGGTGGTGCAGTGGTTAGCACCGCTGCCTCATATTAACAAGGTTACTAGTTAAACTAGTGATTCTAAATCAGCTTTGGCTGTAAAATGTTCTAGAAGCATAAACATAAAAGAGCTTCATGAAGGTATTGTTAAAACTGCTCTGAGTGGGCAGTAAAGCTAGAGAAATATTCTGTATTTATGCTATATATACAAATGAGTATATTAAAGTTGCACCTGCATGGACAATCACCCACAATGTAGCTCATTGTGAGATTAAACCTAGACCATTCAACGGGAGGGAAATTATGACGACCGCCGAGCAGCCATTTGCCCCCCTCCCCCAGTTTGTAATTTGAAAGTACAAACTGGTTTTCAAAGTGTTAATTAATACTGAACTTATATTTATTGTTATAAATGGAAAGTAAGAGGATGTTTTTGACGATACAGCAGTGAGAGGTTCAGAACGTTCATGCCACTTTTCATTTTTGATAAAAATATATTTAAATCATTGTGGCTGCTATGTTGTCATGTCTTTAGTAAAACAGGACTTGATGTGGTCTTTTTCCAATAACAAGTGTTGTAAATTCTAAAAGATAGACTTTCCCTCCTCTGAAACATTAAGGACTCACATTAACATCCTTTTATTAATGTCAGATAGCTTGTTCTAAATGTATCCACAGTCCTAAATTTGCTATAGATACTTATGAGGGAATTCTTGGCACAGGTCAGAATTGACCTAAACTGTGCAATATTGTGTATAGGCAGAAAATATGAACTGTATGTAAGTTTCAAACAAAAGCTTTGTGAGCCTCTGCACCATGCATGCCTTCATTCCCTCAAATCCTAAATTCGGACATCCAATTAAGGCGAGCAGCATGTTCTATTCAAATAAATTGCTACAGGTATAAAACGAAGTGTAATTTAGTGCAGTAATTACTCCTGGCTCATAATTTTTTGAATGACAGATTTATACTAAATTCTGTTAACTCTGGTTTACTGTGTAATACTTTCCTGCTTTGTTTATTGTACATTTAAAATGCTGCAAAAAATATAAAAAAGCCGAAATTATTGGCTTTTTTTGACATGCCTGTATTTAGAATCTTTTATGAAACAGTTCCTATGTGTATACAGGTATGCTCATAATGTGTTGAATTAAGACACTAATTTTGTAGTTTTGCCTGTGTACACCACCTCAGCAGATTTTAAATGAAGCAGTTAAGATGTGATTAAAGTAAAAACAAGCTTAAATTCAAAAGCTTTTAATAAATACAAGTTCTTAGTAAATTATAAGGAATAACAACCGTTTTTATAAACAGAGTAACAAAATTAACAAACATAGTTTTTAAATATAAGCATTGTTTTTAATACTTGGATGAATATCATTTGCAGTCGATGACTTCCTGAAGTCTAGAAGCCATGAATATCACAAAACAGGCCTACGCCTTGATTTAAAAATGAGGATAATATATTATTAAAAAAACAAACAACAATAGTAGCTGAATTAAAAGATTTGAGCACCACGGTCAACTGCAAATATCTAGAGTATCAATGTAAATATTACAAAACGCATTAAACTTTCTAAATTCAGTCAGTTATGGGATGTTTCATACATGCTACCCTGAAAATGGTGTAACCGGCACCTGCTCAACTTCCCTGTTTGATTAAACCACACAGCAGGAGTGGGCATCCTCTCTAATCAAGGCTTTCCATGTCAATGTGCAAAAGGATTGAAACACTTCCTAATACAGAACACTACCCAGCTAACAGGGGAGCACTGAGGGAACATTGTCCATTCAGGTAAATGTTCAATTAAAAAAACAGACGTTCTGAGAAATTTCACCGTTTACAGCGCTTCTCCCACTCACAGCCACCTTCCAGCTGTTTCTGCTCCCAGGAAATTTAGCTGTGTTAAGTTACCAGGATCACTATTACAGACTAAATGCCTTATCCAGGGGCGGATCTAGAGAAATTTTCTTAGGGTGGCATGAGGGTGGCAAGGAAGTCAAATGGGGTGTCTTTTTTTTTTCAAACACATATGCAGGTGGTTACATATGGTTAAAATGATTCAAATGCAGTAAGTATACACGTTTTTCATATAAATATAGTCTATAACTAATTATTTCTGTAGCCCATATAATTAAACACTTTAGTTACATAACACATGCAAATTTTGATTTTATGTACTGTATAGTCCAGCGGTCCCCAACCTTTTTTTGCGCCACGGACCGGTTTATGCCCGACAATATTTTCACGGACCGGCCTTTAAGGTGTCGCGGATAAATACAACAAAATAAAACTAGTACCAGTACCGAAAAAAAGAAGATTTATTCATAACACACGTGAAAAGACCCAGGAAAACCGAGTTAACGATAAAAACGATAACAAAATAACGCTGAAAACCGATAAAAACCCTGAAAACTATACATTTCACACCTGAGCCTCAACTCTCGCGGCCCGGTACCAAACGACTCACGGACCGGTACCGGTCCGAGGCCCGGGGGTTGGGGACCGCTGGTATAGCCTATATAATAAATGAATAAATATGTAGCCCAATAAGTATAAAATCCAGAAAGCAACAGAACATGGGGTGGTTGCTTTACAAACACAATTCTAACTTCAGTTTCACACTTTTTTTATTAGAAAAAAAACGAATACATGCTTAAATTTACACAAAATGTCAGAAAACCTAACTTTTCATGACTAACTTTGTTAGGTTAACCCTCTGAGATACAAAATAACAAAATATAAATTGACATTTTTGACTCCTTTTGATTTTACATTTGTATTTCATCCTCAAATTGTTTCATTGTATTTATTTTTTCCTGCCTTGTTTTCCTGCATCATTCTTTTCAGCTCAACCTCTTGTGTCTGAATTTAGTTGTTTTTTTCATTGACATACTGTATTAACACAACTGATCTGAAATCACACAAAAAACATAAAATCCTAGTAGTTATTTTTTTACTGTCAAAACACAGACATGTTGAGTAAATAATTTTTATAACTTGAAATGCAAATATAAATTGTACATTTTGAAAACTTGTGCACACATTTTGTAAACATATACAACTATCCATCCATCCATCCATCCATTCGCTTCCGCTTATCCTTTTCAGGGTCGCGGGGGGTGCTGGAGCCTATCCCAGCTGTCATAGGGCGAGAGGCGGGGTACACCCTGGACAGGTCGCCAGTCTGTCGCAGGGCCATATATAACTATTTATCTGAAAATGCAGCCATACATCTGGCATTTTTAAAATTTGGCTACAACCATTTAAAAATACTACTATAAACTAAAATGAAAGAACAATCACGGTGTCACAATAAGATGCCCCACAAACTTCTTGTGCCAGTAAAAAAAAATGTCCGCCACAAGAGGAAACAGACAGGTAGCAACCTAACACTATGCAATAAATTCAGTTTTAGAATTTAGATTCACTGTAAACTGTAACTGCACTCAAAGTGTTAATGCTATCTTATTTTAACAAACAACACTGTCATATGCAAAACTAGGGTGGCACCCCATGCCACCCTTCTAGATCCGCCCCTGACCTTATCTAATACCTTAAAAACACGTGGTTTCACACATCTTACTACATTTTTACAATTAATTTGTCATCTTAATTTGTTGCTTATTGTTGCGGCAGACATTCGCACCTTTTGATTAATTTATTTATTAAACATTTTTTTCCTTTAGCAAGTTCCACTGTTGTGTATGTGAGGCACTGTTTAAATTCTCTACAAGCACAAAGATTGTGGAGTACATACATCATTAAGCACTCTCAGCACACTACTCGCTTAACAAGTATGCTCTCAGAAGTGGAAGAGAAGCTTAATTACAAAGAAAGAAAAGAAAGAAAACGGGATTTCCAACACTGTTCATACCAAATCAAAAACACTGCAGTTTCCTGCCTTCATGACACATTTACACAGTGAAATTTGTACTTCTGTGGTTCCTCTACATTGACTGGAGGACGAACCTGAGCCGGGACAAATGATGGCAAAAGATGGCACTTGGAACAAAAAACAATGACGTCACAGTTACCTACAGTCACCTTGTGGTTAGCCAGAGAACCAACGCCATCTATAAGAAAGACAAAGGGAAATTCATTGAAACAAAACATTTTTACAGAAAAGTAGTTTTACTATTTTCAGGTCATTAAAGTCTGTGGTTGAAACAGATATTTCTAATGTTTGTCAGTGACTCAGTCCCAGCAGATTTATAAACCCTTTCTTAATAATATAGCTGCTTTATGGTTGGGTGGTTTCCAGAGACGTGTCCCAATTCTATCCAACCGAACACAAACTCTAAATAAATGCAGGTGCAGTATTTTTATACAATAAAGGAATGTATTTGTCAGTAGCAGGTAATCATATGTAGCACTGATCACATGACTAATCAGCCTATAATAGTTATTACGCAAAAACTATTTAAATGCACATGTCAGTAGCATAGTGTTGCTATGACAATGAGGAAGAAGAGTAGCCCTTTATTTTCATTGTACATGTAAAACAAAATTATGGGTGCTCCGAGGGAACTGTGCAGGAATAAAACATAAATAGTAAGACAGAAATATATACAATCAAGACCAGTATATAAAAAACTAGAGCCTGCTGCTTAACTCACAGAATGATTGAAATTTCCTACTCCAGGGTGGGTAGGAAGATATATTAAACACAGCAAACTATATCGCACAACATCCAGGTGCGAGTGGTTGCTGGATGAGAATGGTTGTAGCTGGATCTCTGCAGTGCTGCTCCCACACTGACAGAAGTAATGGAAAAGGATGTTCTGTGCTTCAAATGAAGAAATATTGAAATCTTTCAATCAAATGAGCTATTTTAAAACACAAGATTATTTCATAGCATTATTACATTTATCTCTTATATTTGCATATTTATTAATTTTTTTCTCTTTCAGTAAGTTTCCAGAATCATTTCAGTTTTTATTATTAAAAACATTTGACTTTAGTTTGCTTTTAGTTTTAGCATTAGTTATATTTTTCATACGTTTTGTTTTTTGTCAGAAGCAAATATCTGAGCTGATCTTGAGTAGTGGCCGTGCGCGGTCTCTTATCTGCATCTCTTTTTGGACCTCAGCTTCTTTCAGATCATCTGGCTCATTCTCAAACCCTCATAAACCGCATGCACTTATGCATGTGTTGTACTGCTCGCTTTCCATGCTCTACTTTGTTTAGAAATTATTCTGGTGTTTCCACTTTGACTGTTTGTGGTTTACTGATATGCGTCACATTTTGTGAAATGCTTGAATTCAGACGCTGAGGTTTTGTGTGTTTCAGTTCAGTTGGTTTCTTGAGTTGGTCAGGTGTTTTCCAAAAACCTGATTACAGATTTATCCAGGTCTGTTGGTATGGATAGCAGTGGCCCTCTTTATTGAATGCAAAATTGATATTAAAAACCCACCGTATTACCAGGTGGACATACTAGCCTGTATTAGAGGTTCTGTACAAAGGACTTTTAGGTGACTGTTAAGATTTAGTGCTGTATGAATAACATTGAACCGAATATAACTGCACAGGCATTTAAAGGATGCATGTGGTTCCTCCTCTCAGCTGTTTATACACCAGGAAATAGTCTGTGCACAGTCTTATAGTCTTTCTCATAAAGGATTCCAATGAGTTGCCTGTTGTTGGCAGTCACCGATGAATACCACTATAGTTTACTTTAAAAAGGACAATTTCCCAAATAGTTGTTAAACTTTTCCCCCATCTTGCTTAGCTGTAACAATTTTTTTAGAATAGGTAAAAGAAAAATGGCTCAACGTGACCAGCAGCAAAACACTTGCAGAGTCCAAACAAATGCAGATGTTGATGGATTGTCATACACTTACTTCCGCATGTATAAGCCACATAAGTGCACTGTCAGTGTGGTCCCTTTAGTATTTGTACTAAGTAAAACGCCATGTATGGCAAACAAATCTGATCTCCAACTGATGAGGGATCTACAGGCATTTCTTCTACTTTCCATTCAAAAATGTGCAAATGATGGTTATGACATGAACCTTTCCTCTCTTGCTTCACAGGATTAAACAAAGGAGGTAAACTAATCCCTGTGTGTCACCATCCTGGGTTACTTGACCCAGTGTTTTGAGTTTTCTTGTTTTTTGATGTCATTTTGTATTATGTTTCATGTTTAAGTCCTCTTTGGTAGTCTTAAGTTCATTCTCTAGTGTCTAGGTCTCTAGTGCAGAGGGGGGAGGGGCCTTGGTTACGCTCGCAGTAGCACAGGAACAGAGCGGGAGTTAAAGAGAGAGAAAGAGAGCCAGGGACAACAACGTCACATCAGAAGAGTATAGTAATCATCCACAACTATTTTCATTTGTGGATGATAAAGCATTCAGAAAGTTTATTCATGCAGTGAATCCTATGTATGTAATTCCAAGCAGGAAAACACTCTCCCAAAAAACCATCCCAGGCCTATGTGACAGAGAATGTGCATCTTCTTTGCATCTTTTCATTTATATTTTATTGTGTTGTGGTTTGCAGTGTTTTGTGTTGTTTTGGAGTTTGTACGTGCTTTGTCTGTAGGGGCCACCGTAAATATACTTGTATTTATTCACTCCACATAAAATGTAATAAATAAAAAAAAAATTTAATAAATAAATTATAAAATACAAAAACCAAGTATTTACATTTCAACTTTTAACTATTTAAATTTTCAGCTTTTTCCTTTTAAACAAATTTAAAGTGAAACAACACAAAACACTGCAAACCACAACACAATTAAATATAAATTAAAGTGTGAGAGTGTTTTCCTGCTTGGAATTGCATACATAGGATTCACTGCATGAATAAACCTTCTGAATCCTTTATCATTTGCAACTGAAAATAATTGTGGATGATCAACACGGATGATTACTATACCTTTCTAATGTGACTATGTTGTCCCTGGCTCTCTTTCTCTCTGTGCTTTGTCTCCAGGATCCACCGTTTAGATTTATATGTTTGTTTTTACATTAGTAATAATAATGGATTGCATTCATAAAGCGCTTTTCGAGACCCTCAAAGTGCTTTACAATGCCACTGTTCATTCACTCTCACATTCACACACTGGTGGAGGCAGCTACAGTTGCAGCCACAGCTGCCCTGAGGCAGACTGACAGAAGCGAGGCTGCCATATCACGCCATCGACCCCTCTGGCAAACACCAGTAGGCGGCAGATAAAGTGTCTTGCCCAAGGACACAATGACCAAGACAGACAGAGCTGGGGATCGAACCAGCAACCTTCTGGTTACAAGATAAGCTTCCCAACCCGGAATTCCTTTTGTGCATAATTTCATATTGTTGTTGATAATAAATTAATTAAAGCAACAAAACAACCTGAAGAGCCAGTTGGGAGCCGAAAGAGCCGGTTCACTAAAAAGAGCCTGAGTTCCCATCACTAGATGTGTGTAATTTGCCCCAACTGTGTTCCCCATGAGTTTCCTGTTCCCTCGTCATTCCCTGTGTATTAAGGTCTTTTGTTTTCTTCTGTCCAGCCTTGCGATCTCCCTCATTCATGGCTGTGTGTTTCCCAGTGTGCCTCTTCATTTACTAGTTCACAGACATGCCCCAGTATAGTTTGGTATCATTTCCCTTGTGTCAGCAATAAAGCTGCTTTTGAGTTTACATTTCGCCTCCGTGAAGTCTGTGTTTGGGTCCTTTCCTGCCTGCACACAGCCGTTCTGTGACACTGTGCTACTTGTGATGTCACATAAAACTGAATTAAATTTCACTTCCTTTTCATAAAAGGTGTGATACCTCCTAATAAAGAATTGTTCAGCTGAAGGTTAATCCTTTTTGCTAAGCACAATATGAATATAAATCATATTAAAGGCAGAACTACAGTCAGTGGCATATGCAGACACTTTAGAACAAAGTGCATCGTTGTGGAGATGGCACCACCTGTGCTGTGATTTCTTCTACAGGCGTTATAAAGCACAGCACAGTGTCTCAGTCAACAAAGAACTAAATGCATCTGTGCTGGGCTGCAGTGGGTTCCTCTGCAAATGTTCTGAAAAGAAATGCAGACATGCAGCCCGACCCTATAGCTGTGTTAGACAGATATGTGTGCATAGTCTTGAAAACCTGTTAACATTCTGTCATCATTGATGATACACTTTACTTCATCTAAAATTTCAAGGCACTCCTCAAATATCTTTTTCTTGTTGTTGTTGTGGTCAGTGTCCCTTTAAAGGCTTCCTTTCATAGTTCATATTTGTCATAGCTTAAATGTTTTAATAAGCAAATCTTGTATGTGTTCCTTTAAATATCCTTGCAGCACTCTGTGGCTGATAAAGTCCTTCTGTGCCGTCTTCAGTTCTGCAGTGTCTGCGTGTCATTGTCTTCCTCATAATACCATTTTTTGTATTTCAGTGGAATATTTTTTAGTCTGTAACAACTGATAAACTCTAACAGTGGTCTCCCTCTCTGTCTACAGTTACACAAACTGTAACTGTTTACGTAACTTCATCTCTGCAGGATGAAGGTGTGGATAGGAGTCACCCTGCTGATAGCAGTCGCTATTCTGCTTGTGATGAGTCAACTGCTGCCCTGGCCCTTTCACTGTAAGCTGCCTTTATACAACATAATACAATACAACTTTATTTATATAGCACATTTAAAAAACCAACAGTACACCAACGCCCTTTACAATAGAAACAGGGAAATTAAGACATGATTAAATAAAATGCTCTTTAACAAAGTACCACATATGTCAGCAGGTTGAAGGCACTAATTACACTAGAATAAAAGGGAATATAAGAACAAACTTACTAAGAACAGATATATATAACTAAAAGATAAGTACATAGATAAAAATGGAGCCAAATATAAAATGAGGACACTAACTAGAATTTGAACTTTGCTGTTGTGTGCAGTCCTTTCAGATTCATTTTGCAGAGCTGGCATTTGTGACCCCATAACTAAAAAGTGACAGCAGTCAAGTCAGGTTAAGACCCAGCAATTCATTTTTGTCTTCTGTGTAGGACATGAATCCGAGACCTCTATGTCATTCACCTTTTACACAATCTATTTCAGTCCTATCGTACTGTCAAGAGGACATGCTGGGTTTTCTATCAATGCCACATTTGTGGGGGTTACAGAGAACATGAACCTTCTTTCCAGGATGATGGGAGAACTGTAAATAAAGGATGGCTCGTTCTGTAATCAGTCAAGTGTTCAAAAATGAACTTTTTTAATTTAGTTGAGTAAATTTTGAAAAAATTCCAGGTTGTGTATAAAATATTTTAAACATTTTGTGTGTCTTTAGTACACAACAATGACACGGTGCAGAGAATTTACATCGGCTCCATGGGAATCAGCAACCAGCGATTCCTGCAAGAGCATGAAGACCCCAGCAGCTCAGAGTTTACTCAGCTGGCCACTCAAGTCAGCCAACAGGTGAGACCTAACAGACTCACAGCATATATGCTTTATGACACGTTATGGACTTCATGATGATTCCAGTTTTTATCTTGTGAAGAAAGAATTATTCAGGAAACAAAGAAGAGTAGTATGAAATATACACACCTGTCATAAAAGTGAGAAAGAGCAGCATCACAAAGTGCTTTAATGCAGACGGTTTCCTTTTCAGTGAGTTCTTTATATTTGACCATTTTGAACAACAGTGAGGAATTTCCAACTGAATGGACATTTTTATACCCAAATTTGAGGCAGCACACTGTCACAAGTCAGAAATTAATCAAGCATAACATTCAACCACTAAAACACCAACAAAAGTAAATAACAGTAATTTAGCATCTCAATGACATAAAAAATGGCATTAAGATGAAAAAATATAGAATTTTATTAAAGAGCCTGCTGATACTGGTTGATTAACCACGGGGGAAACATAAAAAATAATTTGGGTAATTACCGATGCTGCTAATTCGGGGCAACTGCGGCATAAACCTTAGGGTGGATGGTGGCCAAATAAATCTGTTAAGCACTATAAAAGCATTTATTGTGAGATTACAACAATCCTAAAGTTCTATTCTCATACAGTTTCATAAATTGGCCTGTAAAATCAACTCTAAGAAATTCAAAAAGTCTGGAGTTCTAAGTCTCTGTTGTGACATTTGGGTCAGAATTTGGTGTAAAACAACAGGAAACCATGGCTCCATCTTGCCTTCTGTCAACACTTCAGGCTGCTGGTGCTATAATGATGTGGGGGATATTTTCTTGATACACCTTGGACCACTTCGTACCAACTGGACATCATTTAAACACCACAGCCTGTCTGAGGATTGTTACAGTCTCTTTATGACTACAGTGTACCTACCTTCTGATGCTTCCATAAAGATAACGCGCCATGCCATCCTGTCGATTTGGATCAAAATGACTGCTTGCTATGAATCTGTATTGTAATCTTGATGTTATCACAAACCTGTGGCTTCCTCTGTTGTGTGTTTCTGTCTTTGTTGAGGCAATTAAAGGAAGTCACTGCAATGATGTGTGACTTTTTTCTCTTTCAGCTCAAACTGATTTACTCCAAAAACTCAGTGCTGGGCAAATACTTCAACCGCAACTCCGTCCAGGCCTTCAGGTACTGTGAAATAGAAACTTGACTGTGCCTGTCAGTTGGCCATGGTGTCATGCTGACTGCTAAGTGTTGTGTGTTTGTCATTTGTTCACTGTGATCAGCTTATCTAGTTAAAGATGTTAGGGTGCTGAATCAACAGTCAGTTCTTGAAGTTAATGTTTCCTAAGATGGATTAGAGTCAGTGCAACTCTGACATGTATCAAGATGTTATGGTTATGACTGCACTTCCAGAACAGCTGGTCTGTTGCTTGCTCCTGATATCCAGTAGTTCGTTCTGACCAAAAGGTCAAAGGAAGGACAATCACTGCTGTGTGCCCGGGGCTCAGTAATGCTCAGAGGCATGCGTAGATACATTATACACAAAAGTATTGAGACATCAATACATTACAGCTACAGGAGTGCCTTGGCCATGGAAAACCTATGCCATGTAGCCCCACCCAGTTTCTGTGCTGGTTATACATGCAAAAGTTTATGAATCTGCAGATGATTTGATCTTCTTCCTCCTAGCATTATTGCCACTCTGCCGGATCCGCTTTTCTGCAAAGCTGCCTTCATTCAGCACGATCAAGGGCATCGTTCAGGTTGGCACCTATCTTCTTCACGTCATCTTTGATTCTATCCATCCATCACCTTTTAGTCTGCCCCTTGATCGCCGGCCTTGGGGGCTGAGTCGCAGTGCTGTTCTTGCCACTGAGTTTTTATCACTTCTGACCATGTGCCCATACCATCGCAGTCGCGCTCCTTGCATCTTCTCTGTGATCGGTGTGATGCCCAGCCGCTTTCGGATGCTGATGTTCATGATGTGGTCCCATCGTGTCAGGCCCAGGCACCATCGCAGCAACCGCATTTCCATTGTGGGAAGGGCCTGCTCGTGCGTTGCGGTTGCCGGCCAACATTCGGATCCATCAAGGGCCACAGGGCGCACTACACTCTTGTAGATATTTCACTTGAGGCGGTCGGGGATTCGTCGGTCACACAGAACACCAGTGACTTAGCGCCACTTCATCCAGGCCACATTAATCCTGGCTTGTACTTCTGGCAGGATGCTGCCATCGTTGCTGATCATCAATCCGAGGTACTTGAAGTGAGACACCTTCGCCAGATCTTTTCCATCAACGCTGATGTTCCGGTTGGTTTGGGGGCCGGCTTCTAAGTACTCAGTCTTGTTAGTGTTCAACCTCAGCCCGTCACTCAGGTGTGTCTTCCATTGCTAAGTTTGGCATTGCAGCTCCATTTGGGATTCTGCAGAGTATGATTGGTTTTAATGTGGTGGATTGGTTTGTACCTAAAATACTAAACTCTCTTGTTCAGTGGGGCACTTTAAAAATAAAGTCTGTATAAATCCTCTCTGTGTTTTGTGGAGCAGTGAGGGTGACAGCGGGGACAACAGCATTGTGGTGTATTATGAGTCGGAGTTTGATGTCCCCGTCCCTGAACAGACCACTGTGGATGAAGCCATTGAATCTCTGGAGCCTCCAGCAGAAAGTGAATGGAGCCAACAGGGACAAGGGCTGCTGAAACCCAGTGACACCCTGAACATCAGCAGCATCATCTCACAAGGTTTGACAGCTCACAAATTTATGAAGTTCAGTTTTCCACAGGTTTTTTCATCGTTTGTTACCAACTTTATTGCCAAACAAATCCTACATCTAGTGACTGAAAGAACAAGATCATACAAAGTGAGCTTCCTTCGGAGGGTGGCTGGCCTCTCCCTTGGTGATAGGGTGAGAAGTTCAGCCATCCGGGAGGGGCTCAGAGTAGAGCCGCTGCTCCTCCACATTGAAAGGAGCCAGCTGAGGTGGTTTAGGCATCTGACAAGGATGCCTCCTGGGCGAGGTGCCCCGAACATGTCCGACGTGAAGGATGCCCCAGGGCAGACCCAGGACACGCTGGAGAGATTATATCTCTCGGCTGGCCTGGGAATGCCGTGGTGTTCCCCCGGATAAGCTGGAGGAGGTGGCTGGGGAGAGGGAGGTCTGGACTTCTCTGCTTAGGCTGCTGCCTCCACAACCCATTCCCGGATAAGCAGAAGAAGATGGATGGATGGATCCTACATCTTTTCAATAAATTTGCCATAATTGAGATAATGTGAAATCATTGAGAAATCCAAAACTGAGTAAGAAAGAATGCAATTGTTAAGAGAAAAAATGATCAAACACGATAATTGTTGTGCTTGTAATGCTTCATAAATATGAATCATAAGTATTATACTTACAAGCATCATTGGTATCTTTTGATAAGGAGAGTCTCAATGTAAGCACGGCAACCTACATCCATAGACCTTGAACAACAATACAGTCTTGTGTACAAGATAGTGCTGTTCAATGTGGTTTTGGCTGTTAAACTGTTTGGCACTGCATGTTTGAATGCAAAAGTGAGTTACTTCTCACAGCGTGCTCAGATCTGACAAGTGAAAATACACCAGGGAAGCTACATTCAGCATATGCAGTCCATATATTTTGATGACGATGAGCTGGGAAGCAAAATTCGCTTTCTTGCAAGAAGAATAATGGCCTACTAATGCCTCCTAGTAAATTAGTAAAACTACTAAATTTGATAAATGTAAAGTTTGACACAAGCAACTACGTAAAAAAAAAATGAGACTGTGTACACTTTGCATGAAGCATGCTATATACTCAGTAAACTGCAATGTTTGTTTTGCACTTACAGCACTTAGGCAGTATGTGTGCCTTGAAGTTAATTGTGTTTAGTGGAGCCTCAGACAAGAGCACTCAGCGAGGACACTGTATTAACTTAATGGGGTGAGGTGGAAAGTTCTCACCCCTTGCATGGTTGTGAGAGTCAAGAAGGTTGTATGCAGTATATTAGCAGGTGAAATACTCACAGTGTCACATGGACTAGACAGCGCCATCTTTCCATCCACATTAGACTGTGATTTTACTACTGGTGGGGTAAAAGTTCTAACACTTATAACTTCTGTCACAGTCAATGTTTTCCTGGCCTGTCAAATTGTGTTGTGCTTATATAAACATGATGACATTTTAATGAAGGGCTGATATTCACTTCAGTTAAATTCAATTTCATTTAATGCACAACAATCGCCTCAAGACACTTTATATTGTAAGGTAAGGACCTAAAATAAAACAGAGAAAACAAAGAAAACCCCAACAATCATATGACCCCCTATGAGCAAATGGTTTGTTGACAGTGGGAAAGGAAAACTCCCTATTTACAGGAAGAAACCTCCAGCAGAACCAGGCTCAGGGAGGGGCGGGGCCATCGGCCTAGGCCGGTTGAGGGTGAGTGGATGAAGATAGAAGGAGCTTAGAGATATTGCAGCATAACTAAGGGAGGATTCAGGGTCACCTGGTCCAGCCCTAACTATATGCTTTAGCAAAAAGGAAAGTTTGAAGCCTAATCTTGAAAGTAGAGATAGTGTCTGTCTCCTGAATCCAAACTGGAAGCTGGTTCCACAGAAGAGGGGCCTGAAAACTGAAGGCTCTGCCTCCCATTCTACTTTTAAAAACTCTAGGAACAACAGGCCTGCAGTGTGAGAGCAAAGTGCTGTAATAGGGTGATATGGTACTACAAGGTCATTAAGATACGATGGGGCCTGATTATTTAAGACAGGGTTTTCAATTTTATTCTAGATTTAACAAGGAGCTAATATAGGAGAAATCTGCTCTCTCTTTCTAGTCCCTGTCAGGACTCTTGCTGCAGCATTTTGGATTAGCTGAAGGCTTTTCAGGGAGTTTTTAGGACTTTCTGATTATAAGATAAAATCATCTGGCCTAGAAATAATAAATGCATGAACTAGTTTTTCAGCATCACTTTGAGATTTAATGAATTAATAATAGAGATATTGTGCAAATAAAGGAGTCTTAGATATTTTTTGATATGCACATTCAAGGACATGTCCTGGTCAAAAAAGGTTCCTCACAGTGCTACTGGAGGCCAAAGTAATAGCATCCAGAGTAAGAATCTGGTTAGACACCATATTTCTAAGCTTTTCAGGACCGAGTACAATAACCTCAGTTTTATCTGAATTAAGAAGCAGAAAGTTAGCGGCCATCCAGGTCTTTATGTCTTTAAGACATTCCTGCAGTTTAACTCATTGGTGTGTGTTATCTGGCTTCATGGACAGATAGAGCTGGGTGTCATCTGCACAGCAGTGTAAATGTATGCTATGTCTTCTAATGATACTGCCTAAGGGAAGCATGTATAATGTAAACAGAATTGGTCCTAGCACTGAACCCTGTGGAACTCCATAATTAACCTCAGTGTGTGAAGAGGACTCTCCATTTACATGCACAAACTGGAGTCTATTAGATAGATATGATACAAACCACTGCAGCACAGTACCTGTAATACCTACAGCATGTTCTAATCACGGTAATAATATTTTATGGTTAACAGTATCGAACGCTGCACTGAGGTCTAGCACAACCACACAGATGAGTCCACTGTCAGAGGCCATAAGAGGATGATTTGTAACCTTCACTAAAGCTGTTTCTGTGCTGTGATGAGCTCTGAAACCTGAAACTTAATTAATGGTAGGACTTCCCTGAGCAGTCTTGTAGGGATGGTTTGGAGGAAGTAATTACTGAAGTTAACTCAGAAAGATCAATTGAATAAAAAGACTCTAAATAATTACCAATGGTAGTGAAATTAGCTGTAGATAATGTTACATCTGTAAAATGGTTACAAGTCATTTATTTTTTCAAATGGCCACAATTTTAACAGGAGGAGAGAAGAAGCAGAGAGGTGTTTAGGACTGCAAAGTTTATTATCTATGTGATTTACTAATACATTTATCTTTGTGTTTACAGTTATAGATCCACGCTTGATCAGGTCCAAATTAACTAGTGAGTACTGGGTTTTCTTCAAGCATTTCTAAATGTAAAGCTTAAATTTTGTTAAAATAAATTGAAAACAGATTTAAGTTGCCTCAAAATGTAAAAGAGTCTATTTATTTAGGTGAATATGTTACAAAGCATAAGACCTTCATATCCTGTTGCGCAGTAACAATGATGCAATGTTACTTTTGTTAACATATTTTTAGAGAGGAAGTTCTTCAACATCCATGTCAGGAATCGTGGAATTGTGCATTCTCCGGGGTTTCCAGACTATCCTTATCCTCCAAATGCCAACTTCCAGTGGAGGCTTCGGGCGGAACCCGGCCACCGAGTTAGGCTCGACTTTCACACTCTGATCTTGGAGGACGACTGTCAGCGCGACTTCATCAAAGCCTATGATTCGCTGGCTCCCATAGAGAAACGTGCTCTGACAGAGTGAGACAAATAATCCCTCTCCCAGAATTTAAACTGTCAGTTATCTCAAAGTTTCTGTTTGTTGCCTGAGTAGACTGAATGTTTGGGTTTTTAGGTCAGAAAAAATAAGACATTTAAAGATTTATGTATGTCCATATTAACTGAAGGTCTTGCGTTTGGTGACCTCTGTGTGTTTGACGTTTCACCTTATTATAGGGATGCACAGATGTACCATGCAGGCCAGATGCATGAAACATGCACAAATTTTTTAATTGATGGAATTATAACATTCACAATGAAGTAGATGTGTTTGGAAATTAAATGCAAACTTCTTTAATTCCTGTTTAACTTACGTAAAAAGACAATTATAAAAAAACACAACAAAACCATGTATAAACCTTGTCTAAACTATATGGGATAGCTGTGTATTTTTAAAACACCAGTCTTTTACTATAAATTCCAGTGTTGTCCAATGTCCAAGAAGAGGAATTTTGTTCACACACATCCTTTATGCATCCAGCCCCAGGACTGTGGTATCTCTGCTGTGTGTTATCAGAAATAAAACAGGCTTTTCAGGCTTCTGTAAAGTTCCTCTTTAAAGGTTAACCTTTCTGTCTCTGTGTTCTTTTCTCAGACAGTGTGGGAATCCTCAAAAGTCATTGTCCTTCTTCTCTTCTGGAAACGTCATGTTACTGACGCTGGTCACAAATGAGAAGGAAAACTTCCCTGGTTTTGAAGCAAGCTACTCCCAGATTCCTTTGGCTAAACGAAGTAAATTCAGATACAATTTGTATTGTTTTGTTTGTTTTCTTTTTAAAAACAAATATTTTCACTGGGAATATGTGACTAAAATGCATATAACAACGGTTTCCATTTATATAGCGCTTTACAATTGCACTATTCATTCACACACTGGTGGAGGCAGCTACAGTTGTAGCCACAGCTGCCCTGGGGCAGACTGACAGAAGCGAGGCTGCCATATCGCACCATCGGCCCCTCTGGCCATCACCAGTACGCGGTAGGTGAAGTGTCTTGCCCAAGGACACAACGACCGAGACTGTCCGAGCCGGGGCTCGAACCGGCAACCTTCCGATCACAAGACGAACTGCCAACTCTTGAGCCACGATCGCCCATATGTCACATATGTGAAATGTGAAAAGTACAGACAGTAATTTTTTGAAGGTATTTAGCAGCGTCTATAAGGAAACTTAAAGAAATCCTGATGCTTTTCTTTCCAAGCTCCATAGACCAGAGAAAAGCAGATATTCATTTGTATCTAACACTGATCTGAGGTCTAGCAGGACAAGCACAGAGATGAGTCCATTCTCAGAGGCCATAAGAGGATGATTTGTAACCTTCTTGCATTTGCGCAATATCTCTACAGTTAAATGTCCAGTCTGCTCACCTTGTGCTGTAATGCTATGTAATGATCTTCAACAAAATCAACAAGCAACATGCTGACCACTAAGTTTAACTCAAACTCCTCTTAGGTGTCACCCAGCATTTCATTGTGGACTTCAACCCAACTGATTGCTAAGATATTTTTCTCTTTAAAAAAAAAAGTTTGACTGAAGGACTGCAGCAATTTCTAAAGTAGGTAGAAACCAGGTAAATAGATTAACTGATTTTTTTTTTGTCTTATCAGCTTGTCCAGGAATGTTCCAGTGCAGCAATAACAAGTGCGTCAGCAAGAGTTTTCAATGTGACGGCTGGGACCATTGTGGTGACAACAGCGATGAAATCAACTGCAGTGAGTCCATCAAACTTCTCATTGTCTAAAGTCTAAAAAGAGTTAAAGAAGGATTAGCACCAAATGTGGATTTGTTTTTTACTGAGATAAATATGCATCTACAGTATAACGGTCACTGTCAAAAGCAAAAAACAACATAATGACTACTAAGTTTAAGTTTTGACTTGTTCCACATCTCAAGCAGGATTTCACTGATGAGTACTGACTTCAACCCAAGTGATCGCTAAGATGATTTTTTTTCCTTTTTAAAATGAATGTTTACATGAAAAAGTAACAGATTTTCTGAACCAGGTAAATAGATAAACTGATTTTTTTTTTTTGTCTTTTCAGCTTGTACAGGAATGTTCCAGTGCAACAATAGCAGGTGCCTTAGCAAGACTTCTCAATGTGACGGCTGGGACGATTGTGGGGACAACAGTGATGAAATCAACTGCAGTGAGTCCATCAAACTTCTCTTTTTGTGAAGTCTAAAAAGAAGGTTTAGCAGCAAATGTGGACTAAATCTCAACTAGAAATTTTTTAAGAAGAACTGGCAGTCACACTCAGTCTATCTAAGTCCGTTCTTTACTATCCCATCTTTTGGAGTGTCAGCTTAGATACTTCTAAGATACAATATTAAAAAAGTCCATATAAACCAAAATAATGCCTGTGTCACGAGTTGGATCGCTATGGCGACAACACAGATAAAGAAAACTGTATGAAGACCAGCAGAAATTGAAATTATTCTGCTTTGGGCGATCGTGGCTCAAGAGTTGGCAGTTCGTCTTGT